AGGGTCGCTGAGGGCTTACGGTTGCATAATGCGGAAAATACAAATTTCTCCATTCTTGCCAGTGCACTCGCGTGGCTAGTGGCCAGTGGGGAAAGGGTCCGAAGGACCCCAGGCTATCCCCCAAGTCAAATTTTTTCATGCAAAGGCTGCATTCCCCAGCGCCCAAGGCAGCAAGAAAGGCGGGATTTTGAGCGCTGGTTATGCTATAAAAAAGTTATAGCAAAAACAAGGTTTACACGCAGTTTCCACATGGGATCGTGGAGTCGAAAGCTAGTTTTCGACATTTTCTATATCTTTCAAAAATTCCTTGAATGCCATTCGATAGAGCGTCAAAAAAAAATACTAACTGTTTTGATTACAACTCAAAATAGCATCATATAAAAGAGCTATAACAAAACGAAGAACATTTTCCCTTCCCCCCCGCTCAGTTCCCCCCCCGCGAAATAGAACAGTACCTTTTATGGAACTTGACGTTGACGGGATTACTAAAAATCCCCCCGGATAACATTTTGTGCGCTTTCAAGCTTCAATGAAAAAAAATTTATTCGATGAAAATGGGGACCACGCAAAATGCAAAATAATAGAAAAAACATCGAGTTGCAAATGATATATATGTATTTCGACGCTTCATGTGGGGTGGTAGAATATGGGTGATGAGGAGGGGAAAAGCCTTGAGAATATCGGCAATCAACCAAGTATGTCGTCTTTGGGATCAAGAGTGGCCACTGCAATATACACAATTGCAAAGTTAATAAAATACAAAAATTACAATTTTAAAATTACAAAACTCGGGTTGAAAGTGAAGCGCGTGGATTGAATGTGGGGGGGAAGGGATGGGAGGGGGCGAATCACCAGTTTGCGGGCTTCACAAAGTTCACAAAGCATCTCGGCTCTCTTTGGAATTACAAGAATATAGATAAAAATTGTAGAAAGAGAAAATACAGTATTACGTTACAGTACACCTTTTACAGTATGCTTTTTACGGTTCTTAGCAACTAGCGAAAATTTGATTATGCTATTCGGGGGCGAAATTGAACAAATGTATACAATGGGCGAATCGGGAGGGCGGGAGGCATGCACCATATTGATCGGCATTTTAGCAGGCGTTTTTTGGGATTTTTATTGGTGTCCAGAGGAGTGAAGCGTATTTCATGGCATAACCGGTTTTGAAACAATCAAAAACAAGAGATTCGGGCCCTTTTAAGGCTTAAAAGCAGCGCTGGAAGAAAGTATCGTATTAAATTGCGTAACTGGCTCACAATCCACAAAAAAATCCTGTTTTTTATATTTTTTGCGAGTTTGAAATTCTCTGGGTATTACATTGCGTAAACAGTTCGAATGATCAAAAAAACTAGATTTTTTCCGCTAATTTCCAACATTTCTAAGCCTACCTATTTTTCAGCGCGTATTTCATCGCGTAATCAGTTCAAAATTCAAAAAATGAGATTTTTCCATACCCAGGATTTCTATGCGTATTTACTCGAGTAATCAGTTCCGGACAGCTGCGCAACACTCCAAGCAACACCTCAAAAAATCGCAAAACGCAAAAACGCCCGAGTTTCCTGCAAAATATGCACAACACAACAAATCGCAACTAGTCAAATATCACATGTCGAGTTTCATTGAAATGTTTGGTTAGAATCGGGTGGGTGGGGGGATTTTTAAATGGGATTTTATAACGTTGAAAGGTATCTTGACGTTACAGGGTTTCGTATATAGCAACGTGGCGTACGTATCTGCTGAATCTTGGATGGGAAATAATGATAACCGTCTCTGAACTGAGCCGCACAACAATATATATCGATCGACAGGGACGGGGGGCCTAAGAACTATCTAAGAAGGGGAGGAAGGGGACTTCAGATACCACGCCCCCTAGCCGAGCATGACCTACTGTATCTCGGCTCCCCGTTGCGCTACCGGGTTGTAAAGTATACGAAAATGATCGCCAGAACAAGACGAATATTTTGGTATAACTTGCATACTTGTAAGCCAGCAGGAAACCGCGATACGACGTTGGACCTCGGCTGGTGGCTGGTGGGGGATATTTGCTGAGGAAAATCGTTAATTGATGAATGCGGGATTTGTGTAGGAGAAGTTGAGGAAGGCTTCCGGATCGATAGATGCCAGCAGGTTCTTGTCGTGTATCGGGGTTAGGGCCGCTTTTTCGGAGGTGAAGTCCTCGTCGAAGTTTGACGCATCGTTTGCCGATTTCTGTAATTTTTTGGTTGGATGGCGTGAGGGATAAGCCTAAGCCGAAGACGAAGCCAAGCCTAAGCCTACGCTAGGCCTAAGCTAAGCCTAAGCTAAGCCTAAGCCAGGCCGAGCCGAAGCCGGGCCTAAGCCTAAGCCCTGAGCCTTAGCTTAAGCTTAAGCCAAAGTCTTAGGAATCGATGCTGAACTGCTCCAAGACCTCGTAGCTGAACTCACAATATTGGGCTTGAAGGGCGGTTGCATCTGCCGCGCCTCGAACCGCTTCCAGTCGACGCCGCGGAAGAAGACGTGCTGTCGGATGGGTCCATCCGGACATTCCGGCATCCCGAGTCGAGTGTTCGGGTTACGATCGAACAGCTGTAATTTTAGGGGTATTCGTGCCATCGAAATATGACCATCAAAAATTAAGTTTTGTCAAATTTTCTGCAGCGTAATTAGTTGCAAAACGTACCGCCGACAAGCACTTTGCCGCCTCTTTGGAGATGCTCTTTGGGAAATAGGGTCTCTCGTTGAGAATCGAGTCGAACAGCTCGTCCTCGCCCTCACCGTGGAATGGCGACTGGCCGACCAACATTTCGTACATCTGAAAAACGTACTTCTTTTTTAAATAAAAAATAGGAAAAAACCCGCTAAATTCGAAAATGATGTATGAAAATTAGTTTTAAGCTACGGCCGTATTTTTAGATAAGCAAAAAACTTATTTGAATTAGCTAAAAATATGCCCCGTTCTATCTTAGAAAACTACAAAAGTTAGATCTTTTTTACAAGTTTGGTTTCGAAAATTCGGTGAAAGGATTGGCACATGAATTTTATAAAACCGAGGAAAATAAAAAACTCAAATTCGCAGCTTTAAAATAGCTTACCAAAACGCCAAAAGACCAAAAATCGACGGCCTCGTTGTAGAGTTGCCCCTTGATGATCTGAAAATGTTTAAATTGGATTTAAAACAATCTAAAATTTCATGAAATGGATGCAAAAATAGCGTTAAACTTTCTTACATTAAAAATTAAAACACCAACTCACCTCGGGGCTGATGTAATCGGGGGTGCCGCAGAATGTGCTCGCCATCCCGTTCTCGCGATTCATTTCCGTCTGAAAGCGGTGTTCGTTTAGCTTTAGTTTAATTTAAGTTTTAGTTAACTAGCTGAAATCAGGATAATTTTATAAAGTTTTTACAATAATTTGCACCAATTATTAACTAGCGCTTTTTAGCTACCTTGGCCATTCCAAAATCTGCCAATTTCACGTGACCCTCAGAATCAAGCAGAATGTTGTCCAGCTTCAGATCTCTATAAAATATATTAAATTTTGAAGTTTTTAAAATAGTGATTTCAAAATTACCTGTAGATGATATTATTCGAATGCAAGAACTGGAGGGCGATGATGATCTCGCAGGCGTAGAACCGGGTACGCGTCTCGTCGAACCGTTTCACCTAAAGATCATAGGTAGAATCACGCACTAATAGTTGTACCTGTTGAATATGGTGCATCAGATCACCGCCGTTCAGGTATTCCATCACGAAGAACAGGTATTCCTGCAAAAAAATGGGTAAATTTGGGGTGAGGCTTAGCTTGGGCTTGGCTTAGGCTTAGGCATTGGCTTATGCGCAGGCTTAGGCTTCGGATTAGGTATTGGCTTGGATTGGGCTTAGCTTATGCTTACTTATAGTAGCTTAGCTTAGGATTAGCTTAGGCCAATCTTAGGCTTAGCTTAGGCTGAGCTTCGGGCTCATCTTAGGCTTGGCTTAGGCTTAGCTTAGGCTTAGGCTTGGACCTGGCTTGGGCTTAGCTTGGGCTTAGGCTGAGGCATGCGTAGACTTAGACTTAGGCTTAGGCGCAGCGCTGGCTTAGGCTTAAGCTAACACTCACATTCGTCTGAAAGGAACAGAACATTTGGCATAGGAATGGGCATTGAGAGGCGAGGATCAGCACCCGTCGCTCGATATATGTACACTCAGTGTCGTCGTCTTCTAAAATCCCAAAAATCGACAGTTCTATTGTACAAAAAACGTACCCAAAATGACGTCCTTCTTCAGGCATTTCATCGCGTAGTACTCGGCTTTTCCCTTCAGTTCGACGAGCAGCACCTGCAAAATTGGAAATTACGCGTTGAGTCCTAAATAGTCCATTTTCGCGGCAGCGTTTAACCGATTACGACATCAAAATATTTTTTCTGGAATTACAGTAAGAAATTCTGGTTAAATCTAGTCTTATTTAGTCAATTACGCGATGAAACCGTCGGGTTACGGTATGAAAACCAACCTTTCCAAAGGATCCCTTGCCCAACACCTTGTTCATCGTGAAGTTGGCCAGGTTGTACTTCTTGTCCCCGCCTGTCCACAGTTCTTTCACGTACCTAAAAACCGTAAACTGAATATGAAATAATTCAACATTAAATTTGCTCAAAATGGACACAAAAATGTTTTGCGAAGCGAAAGGGAGAAGGTGTTAGTTGCCTAAAAATATATATAACCGTTTAAAGGGACCGGGAAGGCTGGAGGCGAGCCTAAGCTAAGCCTAAGCCTAAGCCTAAGCCTAAGCTTAAGCTTAAGCTTAAGCCTAAGCTAAGCCTAAACCTGAGCTTAAGCCTAAGCTTAGGCTTAAGCTTAAGCCTAAGCTAAGCCTAAGCCCAAGCCAAGCCTGAGCCTAAGCCAAGCCTAAGCTAAGCCTAAGCCCAAGCCAAGCCTGAGCCTAAGCCAAGCCTAAGCCAAGCCTAAGCCAAGCCTAAGCGAAGCCTAAGCCTAAGCCTAAGTCTAGGCTATGTCTTCCCGATCCCTTTAAAAGGACGCAACGATACAATTGACACATTGGCCGTGACAAAAATTGAAGCTAATATTCATAAAAATCCGTGCAGACGAAAATGGCGGCTTTCCAAGAAAGCTAAATTTGCATAATTTTTAAAGTAAATCAGAAGCGCAGCAAAAAATTATCTTGGATCTATTTTAATAATTAAAAACAATATTTTAACATCGATATAGTTTAATGTTGAAAAGCCGCCATCGCCTGCCAGATAAATACATTTATAATAATAATAATAATAATTACTGGACAATACCTGGACACCCGGTCCAAATGAGAGCTCGATCTGATTTCGGGGTTATGGTATATAAATATAAAGGTGGATATCATTCTGCATATTAATATTATTATGAGTATACAAAAATAGACGGGACATTTTTTTACAAAGGGGTTACGGTAACATACCCTTTTTGGGCCATCCCGTTGCCGGCTTTCCCGTTCTCGCCCAGGCTCATTGACGACATGTTCGGTACACTGAAAATTGGAATTTGGCTAGGTTTATGGTCGTCAAAATAAAATTTGCTTGTTTTAAAATGTTTAGAAAAATCATAGAAAATCGAGATTGGTTGCCCGGCCCTTTAAAACATGGGGAAATCTGCCGTAGACGTGTCGACATCACTTTAAAAGTCCCCCGTCCATACCTATGATGCGGGTGTTTGCCCTGCTTGATCTCCATCAGCGCCTCGCTCAACTGCTTCTGGTTGACGCCGCACAGGTTCGGGATCAACTTTTCGCATTTGTGATGGCACGCCACGTTGCATACTGCAATCGGGTGTATAACGTATCGTACTGAATTATAGGGGCTAAGCCTTGGCCCAAGCCTAAGCCTAAGCTTAAACCTAAGCCTAAAGCTAAGCCAAAGCTTAAATAAAGCCCCTTGCCTCCTCAACGATCTCTGCTAGCTTCCCACCAACAAGAAGCAAAAGAATAACGCTGGCCGGAATCGAACCCCCGGCCCTCCGCTGGCCACTCTAACGCTCTACCGATTGCGCCACGTGAATCCAAAACTTAGTATATAAAATTCCATAGCTTTATTAGCTGCCCAGTCTTTTAAAGGCAAAGTTGCGGATCTAGTCAAAAAGCAAAAAAAATGCTGCGGCCAGGATTCGAACTTTGACCCTCCGCTTGGGAAGCTAATGCGCAACCGACTGCGCTACTGGTAGAAAACCATTTTTGGTTATTAAAATCTATAAAATATACAGATTTTTTTATATTTGTTTTTATTCAATCTGAACAACTTTATTTTCCACCCACCTTCACACTTCAAGCCCTGCTTAAAGAGCCCGTAGAGCATCGAGCCGCAATGGTCGCAAAACGTGGGGCTCTTAAAGTTGTAGACCTTGAAGCGATGCGGGATGTCCACTTTGAATCGCTCCTTCAGCGCCTAAAAAAATGAAAAATTAGGAATTAACTAATTTCCAAAAAAATCGCCTTAAAAGCTAAAAAGCCCCATCTGTATCTTTACAAAATAAAAAAGCGTGAAAAGAAAAAGAGGCAAATTATGGCGGCAATTTAAATGTATATATAAATAGCCGGGCGGAACCTTGTATTCGGCGATGAAAAGATCGGCAAATGCCTGCAATTAATTCGTGCAATTTTTCAGGGCCGGAAAAGTGCTTTTTAATATAGTTTCTAAAGTCTTTTAAAGTACGCTCTATGCTAGATATGGTAACTGTAATTTTTGTAAATTCTAGAGTTTTTTACTAATGTTTAATGTATTGTATTTGTGTTATATTTGTCATTTTTCGTTTTACCTGTGGATGTTGGGTGGGATTTTCCTGATTAAATGCTTAAATTAAATCACTATCACTTTTTACAGTACCCTTTTAAATGCAAAACGACTGCATTTTTCTATAGCAGGCGCGAAAAATTACAAGATTTGGAAAATTTTTTTTAGTGCTAAATTTTCACTTCACCGTCCCTTTAAAGATGTTTTAGAGCATATTTCATTATTTCGAAATTAAAAAATCTCGAACTTTCGAAATGCCGAAACTCCTAAAGCTAAGTGTTTCCAGGAGAAAGCCCCCCCCGGAAACCCCCGTTTTCGACAATTTCGACATTGTCAAATGTCGGTATTTTGAAACGTCGACATTGTGAAGCGTCGGTATTTTGCGATTACGCCATTTTAAGGTGTCGGCATTTTTAAAATGTCGTGATTTTAAAGTTTTGCCGTTCGAAATCTCGGCATTTTTGATCGCGATCAGAAAGATACATCAGAAAGCATATCCGTAT